CAACCGTAGTATGAATAATGCAATTTGAAATTGAATAATAATTCCTCCCTTCATACTTCAACAGGCTTAGGACTGTCAACTTAAAAGTTGGCGTATTTAAAATAAATCAATTTCATAAAAATATTATTTTTTCTATTTACATGAATATGGTTTGACTACGTTTGTGTGCGTTTGCTTCGTCGCGCTCAAATTTGTTTGGTCAGACAGAGACGGAGTGAATCTCTACGTTCGCACATAAGCTTAGCGAGAAATACTAGGTGCGCGTAATACGCGACTACGGATTACGCAATAATAACTTCTATTGCTTCGATGATAGGGTCGGAAATTGTGTAATTTATAAAATACTAGGTGGATCAAGTATTTAAAAAATTTGAATTGCCTAGTACTGTAAAATACCTAGTGTGTGGATCTGTTCTAGTAAATACGTCTCATCTCTAACATACTGGTGATCTGCCGCTGGTAGTAGGACCACAGCGGGAAGAGCCAGGGCCGGTCGCCGGTGAGCGCGCCGGCGCGCCGCAGGCAGGCCCAGGCGCGCGCGCTGTTGCTGAAGCAGCCGAACGCGCCGCCGCCCGTCGCCAGCAGCACGCCGTCTGGACAAGCACAAACATACATTTTAAAGGTCTATTCCACTTTGACCACCTGGCTTTGATGACCCAGGCGATCAAAGTCCACTTCCAGCGACAATTTAGTGTCCTTTAATCACCCCCGGATTTGCCAAGGGTGATCAAAGTGGAATTTAACTAGAAATTATTATTTTAGTGTCCTTTGATCACCTACATACAAATCACACCTCTGAAAATAGACACGTCATGTCCAATTGTTGTAAGTACAAATACTTTCTTAATATAGACAATTTTTTTACAGTTTTAAAGACTAAGGGCTATATTTCACCGAGACACCATGGCGGCGCAACCAGTCGCCGCTACCAACAAAATGTACAACAAATACAGCTTTGCGCAACCAAACGGACACCAGGTGAGTAACTCTCTATAGAGCTGTATACATTTTGTTGGTAGCGGCGACTGGTTGCACCGCCATGGTGTGCTGGTGAAATTATACATATAGCCCTAAAGCTGGGTTGCACCATCTTACTTTAACAAACGTCAAAAACACTGCTTTAGTGACCCACTCTACCTAATCAGATTTATGGCCCATTCTTGATTGCCAGATATCTCTCACTGAATTTATTCCCGTTGTCCCCACCAGACTTGTCCCCAACAAGCCAAACGACTGGTGAGAATTTAATATTTTTCTGTTTATTCCCATTGTCCCCACCGGAGGAACGGGGACAACGAAACTAATAAATTTAATTAAAATCCCACCCGAATCTCAGAACGAGCCTGATGGAGACAACGGGAATAAATTTGACTTATAATTTCGTCGTCGCCTACTAGCGGTTCACTAGCAATGGACTCTTGTCTAGATATTTGGAATATTACAAATCTTAAACTATTATGTTGCATTTTTACTATAAAATTATCACTTCACGGGATTTATTGCAATAATATCTATTTTAACGGTAAATAAACGTCGGGAGGGTAAATATTTTATTTACCGTTAAAATAGATATTGTTGCAATAAATCCCGTGAAGTGATTAATTTATTACAAATCTGTATATCAAACTGACGTGTGAGCGTGGCGACGTCGACGACGAGCGCGGGCCGGTGCAGCGCCTGCCCGTACACCAGCGCGTCCGCCAGCATCAGCCGGCCCTCCATGTCCGTGTCCTCGATCTAAACAAAACCACAGAATAAGTAATAGTACAGGTACAGAAGGATTACTCCGCAAAACGATTTAAAAAATGCGAGTCTTGTTACGACGCGATACAGTGGAATTCAGCTCGCACAGCACTACGTACCTACAATTTTATTCACCTACAAGTTTTGTCTCTTTCTATCGCGTGCCTCTGAACTCTTCTTACGCTGTTAGGGTTGCTGTATAGTGAAAAAATAATTAATCTACTTATTTGTAATGAGGTACGTATGTAGGTAAGTGTGCATTCATTATGGAAAACCTTGGGAGAGGCCTTTTTCCAGCAGTGGACGTCATTTGGCTGAAACGAACGAACGAATTCTGAGCAGTAGTCATGGTAGGTTAGGTTCCTATACTATCCTAAGAATTATTGATTACCTACATGGCC